AACCTGATCTTCTCTTACAGTGGGAGGGACTTTGCTCCCCCAGTCCCTTGCCTTGCAGTCCATCCACTTGAGAGGTGTGGAAAGAGAGGTTGCCAGTGAAGGCTGAGGCAAAAAAGTTGTTGAGTACCTCAGCCTTCTCCTCGTCCGTTGTTACCAGTTTGCCAAACTTGCTCGTCACAGATTTAAGCTTAATTTGCTTAGCCCTTGCAAAGAGCGAACAGAGCATCCCTCTCATTTGCTAAAAGCAAAAGAAAACAAAACAAAACAAAACACTTTCTGGGGGCTTTACAAGCTGTCAAGTAAAATGCGTGGTGTTGAGGAGGCTATGGAAATTTGGCAGAAAAATTATTTCCATGAAGAGAGGGAGAGGTGATGGAGATGAAAGACTCACACCTCCAGACTTCCTAGTTCTCATTAAAAAAGGGTTTCAGAATATGTGTGAGTTCTTTTTTGATTTTCTCTGCTGTGGGAGATGATAGCACACTCTAGACTGCTGCTGTAGTCTTTCCTGCCTCCTGTTGAGGATAGCTAGGAGGGATTCTTGCAGGGTTCCCAAAACCTCTCCCTGCTCATGAGAGAAGGTACAGACGAGTCCAACCTCCTTGCCTGGCTGCTGGATTCTGTGGCTGTGATTTCCACCCCAGCTGCCTGCCCTCTTTATACACTTTGCAAGGGATCCTTGTGCCTGCTCCCCTCCTCTAGTGCACCTTCTCTTCACTTCATCCTGCCTCTGACTTACTTTTTCAGACGCCAAGAAATGAACTGGAGGCCTTAAAAACCACAAGGAGATAGATACAGGGGACATCTTAAAAAACAGTCCTAAGGAATAACAGTTCCACACAGCTGAAGAGAAGTCAGAAATTCTCAACTAAGTCTCAGCAGCTACAGTGCGAGCCGAGTACCGGTGATTTCTTCCCAATTATTGGCCACTAGAGGGTAGCCTAGATCTGCTGAACAGTCATGGATGCCATTGAGGCAAGGTAATTCTGGGTGTTTTAAGTCAGGTCATTAACTAACAAGATTTTGAACCTAGTAATAGAAGAAGTGCATTGTTTGAGTAATTCAGAAATGGTGTACAGAAATATTAAACATGCCCCAGGAGCAAGCCAATTATATTCCCCATGGAAAGCTCTGAGAAAAGCCCACGAGGGTAAATATACGTATGACCTTCTGTTCTTACTCGTTCCTTTTCTACTGTGGACTTTTTCCACTAATGAATTGGTGCAAAATAGGATATACTTGCACCTGGGTCTGACTAGGTTGGAAAATATTTTTTTTTATAATTGGATAATTGGCCCACCAGCTGTAAAGTCTGTCAAAGGTAAAGAACAACCTTTCTCAGCAGGAACTAAGTGGAGGGAACAACACGACATTCTGCCAAAGTTTTATAGCAGGTATGAGTTTTGGAATTAGGGTGAATCTGACCTTCCTCAGATAAATATGTACCCTTTAAAAAGAGGTCTGTAACTTTACTTCCATTTTGCAGGTGGGGAACCAGAGTATATATCAGGTTCAAACTGGAAGGCAAAGTATCTGGGGAAGGAAGAGAGGATGAGGGTAGCAAAGGAAGTCCAAGGGTAATTCTGCATTTGTTCAGCTGTAGGGAGAGATCAGAGAATTACAGGGATGGGATGACTTTGGTCCTAGTGACTGCCTTCATACCCTAAGGAGGGGAACCCTAAGTAGGTATGCCCACAGCTGCTGGGCCTTTCACTCCTCAGGCAAAGACTGTGGTCAAAACCCAGGGACGTGCACTCAGCAGGTTCTAGGACGTTCTCAGGGTGATAACTGGAGGAACGGGAGAGGAGGAGATAAGGCCTTTCCTTTCTTTTTATCCTTTTTTCATTTTCTTCTTTCTCTTTTCCTCTAAGTTTGAAACCTAAACTGGAGGAAAATCCCTTGGGAAAAAAAAAATAACGAAGCAAGTTTGATATAAAATGCTTGAAAGCTGCTACCTCAGGCCACACAGCTTTGAAGAAAAATCAGAGGATTAGGATTAAAACCCCTGAAGTTTCCAGCTTTGTAGTTCACTCTGGTTGGAGCCAGGCTGGGGAGGGGGAGGGAGTTTGGAGTGGAGAACAAAGTGGAGCTGCATGAACTGTGGGGAAAGGATGTGTTGAGAGGCATGGTCAGTCCCTGTTTTGCTGCAAGTGGTGCTTTGTATAAATTCAGTGAAACAGCTAAAGGAGGACATGTTTAATAACTGGAGCGCTACCTGAAATGGAAAGCTCAGTCCCAAAGAGCATGCAGTCTAAATGCTGCCTGCTGCAGATGAACCCAGGGGACAGAATTAATTGGAGCTTAGCTGTAGCCTGGTTTCTTAAAGAAGCAAGGCTTATGCAGTCACCCTGTCTGTCTATCCCCTATCTCTTTCCCTCCAATAGCTTTTAATTTCATCAGCCAACTTCAGCCAGATTTATCAGAGGGGTAAAAGTCTCAAAGTCAATTACGTTCCTATCTGTCTCCTGAACTGCATAGCCAGGAATGTTCTGTTCATGCCTGACCAGAGAAGAGGCAGGTAAAACCTGCCACTTCTGAAACTCCAGAGAAGCCATATAAGAGAAATTTGGCAAAGGCCCTGTTGCAGAAAAGCTTCACCCAGTAATGACAGACAAACCATGCAGAGTCAGGCTTTGTAAGGTCTGGGGCTTGCAGAATTTACTTGCTCGTAAACTTAAGTTTTGATTGTCCGTGGTAGAAGTGGTAAGTTTCTGTAAGATGTTTTTAGGTATTCTGAAAAAAGAAGCAGCAATGAGCGATGCTTTTGAAGACAGGGATGGTGAGGTTGTCTGTGTAGAGGAGGTGAGATGGAAGCGCTGAAAAAAGTGAAGTGGAATTGGAGCCTGACCCCATGAGTAGAGGTCTGGAGTTAGCAATGGTAGAAAAACAGTGAGGGAGAGAAACTTCCATTGAGTTTGTTCTTTTGGCACACTGGACATTGCTGTTGAGAACAGGAAGTTTAGTTTGTTCACCAGTTTGACCGCACTGTCCTAAGGGATTTAATTTTAGCAGTCATGCTGAGGTAAATTACAGAGAGAGACAACAAGAGTGGTTGAAAGACTAGAAAGGAAGAAGCTGGACAGTGCATCTCTGCGTGCTCTGTTTGTGGAACAGAGAGGAAATGATGGAGTATGATGTGGAAAATATAATCTGGACAGAGCCTACATGAAGGTGGCAAAAAAAGGTCTCGTTTAGCTGTAAATCAAAGCCAAAAGGGGAAAGGACCAATGATGAGCTGAAAGAGTTTTAAGAGAGAAAACAGTGTGGTATGTCTTGCTGTATGAAACACTATTTCCCACCTTTCCGCAACCGTAGTCATAATGACAGGGCAGGTAGAACTCTTGCATTTGCTTATGTGCTGTGTACTTAATCATAATGCCATTTGTTCCCAGTTGCTGGAACGGTACCCTGAATGTCAGGCAGTAACCCTTTTCTTCTGTTTTAGGTATCTTTTTGAAGCTGTACAACTTTGTGTTGGAATTTCCTGTGCTGTGTTTTACCTTTGTGGATAGAGCTTTTCATTCTGTGAATTTCATATATCTTATCACGTCCAAAGGCTACAGTCTATCAAGCAAAATGGTATGTGGTCTGCAAGCTGTGCTCTCTGGATAGCTGCTGTAAGCTTTCTTCTTCTTTTACAGTACTGGAACGGTATCGGTTCATGAAGCAGGCTCAGGCACTTGCACCTTGGATGTCACCCAACATGTTCTACGGAGGTGGTGACAGGAACTCACAACTTTCTTCTTACCAGCTGAACCCTCTACTGCAACAAGGTGAGACCATGGGCATAATTTCAGAGGGAAATCAGGATGAGAAACAGGTGACTTCTCAGGGAGTTTCAGCAGTGAGGCTTTAGCCTCTCTACTACAAAAGCGAAAGATGTTCCTAGCATGACTGCATGTCCTAGCATGACAGCTCTGCTACATCTGCAGCGTACTGTAGACTTGCCTGGGTGGATAAATACAGCCTATCCATCCTAAGTGTCTTGCTAGACTCGGTGCTGGGTGAAATGGTTTAATGCTAACTAAGGTATATCTGTGCTACACCCCAGCGACTGCAGGGTAAATATACCCAGCTTATCTCACTTCATGTGGTAGAGGAGGGTACTGTCTCTTTGTTCTGCTGTGCTGGTCACGGTCAACTCCTTATAGCCAAAATTGACATGACGAGTGAGGTGCAATTTGTTTGAGTTCTTATCAAATGTCTAGTCTTCAAATTATTAAGGGCAAACTGCCTTCTGTGCAATAGATCTAGCCTGCATGCAGCAAAAAATGAAGGACTCTCTAAAGAACCAGGAAGAATTTGCCAGTTGTTCTGCCCCAAAATCACTTGTATTAGTGGTATTTATTTGTAACTTTAATGGAGGAGGGAAGATGGAGCCACTGAAGTCCTAGAGAAATGAGTAATACAATAACTTATTACCAGTAATATTATTTAATCACCCAAGGAAAATAGGGGAATTCAACATAATAACTTCTCAAATATAACACATTTTTCATCTGAAATTAGCTTTTCATCACTATACAGCAGTCACAGATTTACTCTGTGTCTGATGAGTCTTAACTGTTGTTTGAAGAAACAGTTTGCAAACATCTTAAATGCTAGATTCAAGATGTTTGAGTATATACTTTTTTAGGCCGCTAGTTAATTCTACAGTTACCATTTTTCCTAGCCAGGGCACCAGTTTTCCTCAGGAAGATCTGGTGACTGAGCCACCATGATTTAAGACAGAATGCACTAAGTCTTCTCAAGGAAATCCATGTGTATGCTGGCAGAAAACGGGCAAATAAGTTACTCAGGCAGTTTCTTAGCCTGTGTTTTCGTAGTCCTTGAATCTCCTGTGTTTAAGTTTCCCCTAAATTTGTTTCAGGTCAGCTTTTTAGAGATGTTGGGTAGAAGGGACCTCTAAGGTCATCTAGTCCTACCTCGTGCTCAAAGCAGGACTGTCACCAACCTCAGTCACATTAGCTGTGGCTTTGTCCAGCCAAGTCTGGGAAACCTGCAAGGATGGAGATTCCATGACTTCTTTGGGTAACTGTTCCAGAGCTGGACCAGTCTCCTAGTGAAGAAACTTCTCCATTTGCTACTTATATCTATACATACGTGTGTGTATGTATGCATATATATAAAAATTTCTTTTGCAGTATTGGTTCATATTTCTTCCAGTTCAATGAGATATAAGAGGAAACACTATGAACTTTCTCTGATTTTTTAAAAATAAGATTTGGTATCAATGCTGTAGGAAAAAATGTTCCGCTCTCTAAATACATAAACTATATTTCACGGTGTGCTGGATGACTTTGATTTCTTACCTCTGTGCTGCCCAAAACACAGATCATGCTGCAACTTACTAGTTACTACCCTTTGCACCTTACCTTGTGTGGTCTGGATGTGCTGGCTGTGGTGCTTGGGACTCGCGCAGCTCTTGCAGTGAGGACGAGCAGGAGAAGAGAGGCTCAGAAGGGACTCAGCCAGGACCATTAGTGCAGAAGGGCCCTCTCTTTATTGTTTCCCCTTGACTTGCTGCGTTCTCCTGTGCTTTTATCCTTAGATGTGTCTCTGCAGAACAGTCTTCCAGTGGTGCAGCCACAAGCTCAGCTTTCCCCTAACAAGGGTGTTTTGGACTATCTGGAGTCTGAAATCCAAAACCTTAACATGTCACAGCTCCGGCCACCCTCCCATCAGCAGCAGGCTGTGCAGCCCAGCTTGCTGTCCTCCCTGGGCTCTGAGATCATGCCACCTCTTCTTGCTGATCACATCTCCTCCATCCATGGGAACAGCAACTCCTCACGGCCACAGAGAGCTGCCCGCACCCCCAGACCCTGGGACTCTGCAGCAGAGGACAGGAGGGAAAACCGGAGGTGGCCCTTGCCTTCCAGTGGGGATTCTCATTCCAGCTACAGTCGGGAGCCCTGGGACAGGCAACGAGAGGACCATCCTCAGAGGCAGAGGACAGGCGGCTACAATAGCAGGCCCCAGCACTCCAGACGGGATGTGTCACCCCCACGCCAGGCTGAGAGGGGCAAAAGCAGCAGCAGCAGCTGCAGTTTCTATCCGGAGGAGGCCAAGGAGCACTCGAGCCACCATCGTGGCTGGAGACAGGAGCCTGCAGGGAAGCGAGACTATCAGCACCAAGCCAGGAGGAGCAATAACTCAGGTCAGCGGCGGCACAGCTACTCTCCCCCTTCTCGCCGGGCGTCTTGGAGCTCCTCAGAAGAGCAAGTCCGTCTCCCAGCAACAAACCGCAGGCGGCAGCACCGGTCTCGGGAATGGCCAGAAGATAAACCCCCCAGTTATTGCTCATTAGAAGTCATCCCAGGTCGGGACAAGAAGCACAAAGGCAGTGCAGGGCCACGCTCGGTGAGTGAGCTGCCTTTTTGCTTTCCCATCTAAGGGAAGAGGTGGGTTTTGGAGAGTGAGAGTGAATGAATGTTTGTTACTTTCTGCAGCCTGTTGTCTTTCAAATGGAGGGCAAGGAGCACTGGGTGCCCTGCGCAGCTTGGTTGTGAAGAGGCTGCTGAGTTGCCTGCCTTCAGACATGTGTTGCATGGCTATAGTGTGTTCAGGGGCAAAGTGAGCAGTCAAATAAAGTAGGTCCCCTATCACATCCCACACCAGGTGACATGTTATACCCTCTCACTCGTGTCCCCACTGAGAGGCATTTGGGGCTCTGTGTACATGTTGGTGTTAGAATAGCTGTTTTCCTGGCCCTGCCTGGGGACAAAGCACTTCCAGAATAGGCAGCAGTACTGAGTATCCCTCTGCAACCCTCTCTGGTGTTGGTTTACTTCTGATTTCTTTTAACATGTGCATGATTCTCCTATTATTGATCTCCAACATTTAATTTTTATAGTATCTTAGTGATATTTTTAAGATGGTTCATATGGGAAAGCATCCAGGTTAAGATGCCTAAAGATACATGAAATAGGCTTAAGATCATGGGTGGCTATAGTGGTGAGAAATGTGTGATTCTCCAGGCCAGGTGATAGAGGATGGCTTGCTTGTTGGGACTCCTGAGAACTGAGCATGCATTATATGGGCAGTGAATGGCTACTGTTCACAGCTTGTCTTGTCAGTTTACACTGGGACTAGATTTCAGGTAGCAACCTAAGTGTGAAAAGCTTCATATCGAATTGCTAGTCTCCACATTAGACAGTGTATTCCCCCTTAAAAAATGAAGGTTTTTTAAAATAAAAAAATGTTAAGTGTCCCTTATCACATATATGCAGAATTTTACCAGGTGGGAGTCTTTTCAAAAGGGCTGTATTTTGCCCATTATCATTTTCCCTTCCGAGTTTTGGAAGGAAGTGTAGGTCTAGTCCCAGCTGGGCTGTGTGTATGTATGAATGGTTTTGTTAAGGTGCTCAAAGCAGGTAGGAAGACATATGATTTCCATTCATCCTTCCTTGTTCCTGAATCTTTTATTTTCTCTTGCAGGACAGAGGAAGTTCCCACAGTGGAAGAAGCATAGTCATTTAATGCCAGTACTGAAAGAACGAAGATTCCCACTGGACTCCTCTTAGCTTTTCTACTACGTAGGCTGGGACAGCTGCTTTTGACTGAACAGATAAACAGCAAAAAAACAGATGAAGCGGCTTCCCCTTAGACTTACAACTCTGAAGAATCTATGTCTAGTGCCCATGAAAGCAATACATAATCCATTTTTATTCTTGCTGTGATTTGGAAACTTAGGTTTGCAGTGGGCTGTGGTCCATTGAAAACATTCCATTGGAAACAGCAGATTTTTTCTGTAAATGGTATATTCCCAATCTTTAAAGAGAGACACACATTGTCTTTGTTAGGTGCCCTGGCACTGCAAGGAGCCCAGTCTGTAGAATGCTGGTCCTTTGCACACCAGTTACTGGAGAAGGACTCCAAAGATCACAGAGTTGTAAAGTCACAGGACAGTAGAATAATTTAGGTTGGAAGGGGCCTCTAGAGGTCATCTGATCTGGTCCCCTGGGAGTTCGGCGTAGGGAGGCACAGCATCTCCTTTCTAAGGCCCTCTGTTGTGCTTCACAATGTGTAATGTTTGCTGCTTCTGCCTGGCTGCTCAGCATAGTTGGGGCAGTTGCTTCCTTTTGTCCCCAGTAAGCCTCTCTCCCAAACAGAAGGATCACAGTGTTGGAAGGATGTTTGACTGCCTTAATAAGGGCTCACTAGCACATCTGCAAATTGCCAGCTTATCTGCCTTATACTGACTGAAACAACCTGCCCTACCTTAAGCTTACACCTTAGTGCCTTAAAAGATACTTGTTCTAGCCTTTAACCCAGACTTGAATTTACTTGTAAACTTAAAGGGCTAAATTTACCAAGGTTTGGCCGTCCCTACAGAGACTGAGCAAGGTATGACTATTGTCCCTCACACCGTGGACCAGAATTTCTTTCAACTCTAGGAAGCATGACTTTGATGGATATATCTTTCCTAAGCCAGGTACTCTTTTCCATGCATTTTATATTCTCCCTTTTCTCTCTGTGCCACGTATCATATACGTGGGGTGGGATAAAGGGCTCTGAATAAGTCCTACAGTCACCATTTTTACTATTGTCCTTGATCTTTACCCTGACGTTTATATCAACTCTGCATATGTGGTGCACCTGATCTGTAGCTAGATTGCAGGGTTTTCTCATCTCTTACCTTGCAACTAGAACACAGAATTTCTGTACGCTCTGAGACCAGTTGCGAAGGAAAACAACTTGCCATTTCTCCTTGATGTGATTCATGCACTGTTTTCATTTAAAATGTGCTGGAGAAAGAGAGGTTCTCTGGATGCTGGCTGCTTCCACGGGAAACTGGCTTGCCAAAGGCACTTCTTGGATTCAAGAGACTCAACTATTGGGAGGGAGTTTTTGGAGCATCTTGTGAATTATTTTGTAACCCAGAGACACTAGAGATTGGCCAGTATCAATGACTGTATTGCCTAGTTTATTTCCCAACCAGTGCCGCATGGGACACTTGCTACTATTTGTTCTTTAATGTCCCAATTACTGATGTGCTTATGCTTTCCCTTGGAAGACTGACTTGGACAGGCTTTCACTTTGCCCACCTCCTTTTTTTCTTTTCTTTGGACAATGATGGGAAACATCACACTTGGAGCAAATACTCCTAGCTGGATATACAATGCAGTTGCTGGTCAATCAAAGGCTACTACAGAGAGTGCTCATTTTCCTACAGTTTCTTGGCTGACAGTGCTTATTTCTAATTCCTGTGTATGGAGACAAAGCATGAGGACCCACTAGCTTCTCTGATTGACTTTGTTTCAGAACCAGAGGCCTACTTTTTGAAGACAGAGGGGCTGTTCGTCAGCAGTTGATGGCTAGCACAAAATGGAGCTAAAAGAGCTAAAAGACCAACTCTAAAGTTTGAATTCAAGAAAGGAAGGCTGTATTAAGCATAGTCCTTGTCTGCATTAGACCCAAACTGTGAATAATGTGAACTGACCCATGAGTTACATCTGAAATATAGGGAATTAGTGTGTTCACAGAACTTGCAAAGCCAGTATCACTCTTGAATCTGGTTCTCAGTCACTGGCTGTGAATCATTTTTGTTCTTATTTAATGACATGCTGAGGGTTTTATGCATCCCCTCTTCTACGATGGGCTAGTATTTTTTTTAGTTAGGAGGAGTTTATGGTGGCTGCAATGACAGAAAATAATATGGGGCTCCTTCTTCCAAAACTAGCACCCTGTTTTGACTTCAGCATTGCCCTCTGGCGACTAGTAGCAGATACCCACAGCTCTGCGATTCTCCCCTTGGAAGCTGAATTAGTGGCTTGGAATTTGACTCTCTCCTTATGCTTCCAATAGGTCCATACATCATGCAGGACAACTTCTTCTTCCTGTCATCTCAACCCAGCCCAAATGTCTGGGTTTCAGGGAAAGGCTGCCCCTTTCTCCATCAAGAGTAGAGGCTATTGAGACACCACTTGAGATCCCAAGATGGTAGCATGGGAAAGAGTTCACTTTCCTTCACATTCAAGTGTCTGTAAGGCAACACGTGTCCAGCAAGTTTTCCCAAGAGCAAGAACCCCCTCACACAGCAAGAAAACCTAGATGACTTTGTGTAACAGTAGCAGCTGTTGAAGCTTGCTGCTGTAGTATGAGCACACTAACTGCAGAGGTTGTGCTTTTTTATCTAAATCCTGTGAAGGAGCCCTCCATCTTTATTTGTTCCTCTAGTCCCCATAATTGAGCTAGAGTGACTAATTGTAGATTTTGTGAATTTGCACAATTTGTACTGCGTGGTCTGAAGAGTTTTATCTTTATCATACTTGAGCTCCTCTTCAGTCACTTTGTTCATATTTATAAAAACATTAAACAAAACTCTTCAGGGAAAATCGATTGTATCTCAGTCTTAATTCTGTAACTTCTTAAATTGTGACAGAAGTAGATTAGGTTATCGAGCAGGGAGGCAGAAATGGTACCAGGTTTACTGGTCCACAGACCACTGCAGTTCATAAAACACCAGTTGGTGGGCTGTGAAATAATTACAAAGGAAATCTATATATGTATGCTTTACAACTGCAAGCAGACAGAAAAGTGGGAAGGAAATAGGCTCTGCTTTGAATGCTTATTTCTATTTTTAATTGGCTATAAATGAAAGCCGTTGTGACAGCACTGCACAATACTATGTGGACTCTTTTTTCTAAGATTACAGGGTCTTTGACTTTTTAAAAGAGAGAGAATTGAGCAGCTCAAATACTGCACACTGAAAGAAATAACAGTAGGAAATAGCCTAGCCTTGTTCTTTCTAGGTTGTAATTTATTCATGCTTAATTTTTCAGCCATTCCAAAGAGCTGATATTGGTATGTCAGCCCATTTGTGATGAAAAAAGTTGAATATGTTTCACGTTTGGGAGTTACTGCCATTCTAGACTTTTGTTCTTCTTGTCATGCAGTTGAAGGAACATACCTTACCCCCAAGAATGAATTTTCTGTCTCAGATAAAGTGCCTTGATAGCCACTGGAGTTACCCTAATTTAAAATAATAATGTAGTGAGTAAGTAACCATGCCACATGGGGCAGATAAAGACGCCCATGCTGCTCCTGTCAGTTGCTTTCCACCTCAGACCAGAAATTCATAAAAGAGATTAGAAATCATGTAATTTTTCTTTGATTAAGAAAGGACTTGCAATATCTGGCTTTCTTGCTTATTTGCAGAGCACCCTGCCATTCCGGAATGCCGTTCCAGGAATGGAGGGCAAGGGCTGCTTCTTGTGCAATCATTGATCTGGTCTTGGCAAGTGCCTGTTTGGCAGTAGAAAGCGCTGAAATGCCCAGTTGCTATCTCTGGGATTGTATTCATGATAGCACTAGCTAAAGTTAGGCTAACTTCGGGGGGGGGAAGTTACCTTGTGTGATAACAACCACAATGCAAAGCTCTTCAGCGGTACGTATTACTACATAGGGTAGCTAAGTCCCCTCTGTGTTACTACCTCCAGCAGCACATCAGCTGAAAATACCCATTTAATATGGTTAGAGCCTTTCATTTGTCACCCTGACATAGGAGAGAGATGACCCTTGAGGTTGTATTAAATTAACCCCACAATTAATGACTGCTCGTTGCTATTTCTGCTAAGTTTAATGCCTATAATGTGCCTTGTGCTGGTCTTCTGAATATTATTCCAGCTGTAAAAGCAGATGGTAAATTTGTAGATTCTCTTCAATGACCGTCAAATGTATAATTAAAATATAAGAGAACTTTTAACCAGTTGCTCTTGTGTGTTCTTCCTAGACCATAAATTGCTTTTTAGTGTCTGCACCAGAAGTGGAACTGAAAATTCTCTGTTCTTACTTCTGGAATTAACCTTATTATACGTCAGTAAGGATTTTCTGTTGTTATTTTTTGGTCAAAAATGCAAAATGGTTTGTTTGTATGGGGGATTTTTTTTGTTCTTATTTTGGGAGACTTTTTTCTTTTTTTTCTAAGAAAGAAGATAATTTGAATAAATACTCACCAAGAGAGTGGAAAAATGTCTGGGAAACCATTAGCAGCCCTCTTTAATGATGTGACCCACTGTAGCAATCGCTGACTTGGCTGCCATGTCTGTAAAATGAGAACGCTTACTGTTTGGTTCTAAAGTACTTTGAGCTCCATGAGAAGAAAAGTCTTCTAGAAATTTTGTTTGGTTGATATATGAAGATACTGGTTGAGCTTTTCACACTTTCCACAGGTGACAGTCACCTAATAAATAAGTGGCTGACATAAGAATGGAGGTCTGTTGGGTCTTGCACAGTAGGCTTAATTTATGCCTCATGTCCTCCTCATTCCCCTTAGCCAATGCCCTTTGTAGATCAGTGTTGCAGGCTTTCTCTCTCTTCCCACTACTGCTCCGTGGTTGCATGTGCCAAATACAGATGGTTGGCCTGACTGAAGACCCAAGAGCCACTTGGAACTTGAGCTATGGGAAAACACACCCTACAGCGGCAAGCAGCCACTTTCTGACTGGGACCAGGTCCCCAGGGATATCATAGAACGGTTTGTGTTGGAAGGGACCTTTAAAGATCATCTCATCCACCCTGCCTCTGCCTTGGCCACCCTGTCCCTGTCCCTTGGGCAGGGACATCTTTCACTAGATCAGGTTGCTCAAAGCCCCATCCAACCTGACCTTGAGCACTTTCAATGATAGGGTGTCGACAACTTCTCTGGGCAACCTGTTCCAGTGTCTCACCACCCTCATCATAAAGAATTCTTCCTTAAATCCAATCTAAATCTACCCTCTTTCAGTTTAAAACCATTTCCCCTTGTCCTGTCACTACAGGCCTTGATAAAAAGTCTTTGTCTTTCTTATAAGCCACCTTTAAGTATTGAAAGGCTGCTATAAGGTCTCCCTGAAGCCTTCTCCTCTCCAGGCTGAACAACCCCAATTTCTTCATAGGAGAGGTGTTTCAGCCCTCTGATCGTTTTTCGTGGCCCTCCTCTGGACCCACTCTAACAAGTCCATGTCTTTCTTGGGCTGGGGGCCCCGGAGCTGGCTGTTTCCCCTGGGTAAGTTTTGACAGCTGACTCAGGTGTATGCCCATCTTGTCAGCCTGTGCAAAAAGACTTGGGCATGGGGAAAGAAGAAATGTGAGAGAGGTGCACACTTACCCCTGTGCACCAAACTAATGCATTTGTTGGAAATGGAGGGTAAAATACCAATGGGTGTAATAGCTGCAAATAAGTTCCAACTGTCAGAGCAGTGAGGTTATGGCACAAGCCTTCCCACAGGAACAGTTGGAGCAAAATTTAGCCCAGCTCTAGCTACTGTTAATGTGGAATTTGATCAACTTATGAAAGGGGCCTCTATGACATGGTTGCCTGCAAAAATAGGGGACTCAGTGACCCAGGAGCTGCCATCCACGTCTCTTGGGCTCAGGTCAGACTGACCCTCCATTACCAAATCTCAGTAACAGGTCCAGAGTCCTTCACAGCTTCTTGCCTGTCCCACTGAGCTGGATGTGCTTGCAAAAGAGCAAATGGGGAAACAAAGCAGGACCTTTGACCCCTTTCTATCGCTATATTAGTTCTGCATAAATGCCGGTGTCTCAGATGAGCATCTACCTCAGCTTCGGCCTGAGAAAGAGAGAGAAAGCAGGACAGGTAAGAGCTGAACTCTGTTCTGGGTGGTATGGACTTTGTGACTGGTGTACCTAGGACATAGAGAAGTGAGTGGAGGTGGTCTTCTATTTTGCCCCATTTCTTATTGCAAGCCAAAGTGTGAGCCCTTCTCATGCTCCATAGCCAGGAATATTGCTGAAATGCAGGAGGGTGGGAGTGCTTGAGGTGACCTGGATTGAAGCTGAGTGATGGATGCTCCATAAGACACTCACAGGAGGGTCAAGCCCATGGTAGGGATTGTAGAGTTTCAGTGTTGGAAGATAAATAACCTTTCCCCAACTGACCTTCACCCCAGGGACTACAGGCTCTAAAGTGGGTAAGATCTCCTCTTTATGCTCTTGGGAAGCAAATGTATACCTTTTGTCCACAGAGGGAGAAACTGGCTCTAGGATTAAAAATCAAGGAAGGGTGGTAATGGAGCAACTGCTGCTGGTCAGCAAATGTCTAGTGAATGGAGTGGTAGCTTTGGGAGGTAATCTGTGCACAGAAGGAAATAAAAATGGATGGAAATTTCCTTACTGTGGGATAAGAAGGAGCATTGACTTGTAGCTACCTGGCACAGGATTTAGCAAAGCATTCACATGTAACACTCGCAGCCTTTTTTGCCATTGCAATTCCTAACACTGCAATGTTTTCTCCATGTTGCTTTGAGTGATGCAGCCCTCTAATTCAGGGCATAAATCAGTTTTAACTTCTAAACACCTTTTTAAGCACAGTGTATTTGAAAAGCTTGTTTAAATATAATGTCAACTTTTCAATATACCAAGTACCAAATTTTCAAGAGTTCCTCCAATTCTAACTTTTTTAATAGACAAAATAAAGGAGGTTGGATGAAGCTAAAGTTTGCACTTACTCCCTTTTGAGAACTTGTTCTGCCTGGGCTACTATCTGCTTCATTAATCCCAGTGTGGGAAAGACAAGAGAACCTAGTTGCGTAGTTGGGTCTTTCCTCAGCTAGAACAAGACAAAATACTCAGATCACCAGATCACTAAGATGATCATTGTATGTGATGCACTCACTAGCACAATGTTCTTTAGAGCAATTTATCAAAAAAAATCAAACAAAAAATTCCCACATTATAATTTTTCAGTTGTACTTATGTGTGGAGGAAACCTATTTTGACCTCCACCAGCTTTAGTGGTTTGCTCATGTGCTGAAACAAGGAATTCTAGCTCTCATATGAAAGAAGTAGCTTTAACTGTCACATATTTCTTGGAGCTCTGAAAGCTATCATTCATTGTGGATATTTGTGATTATACAACTAAAAGGACACCTTCATTTTTATACTACCATATTTTCCTCACTTCTTCAGAGGAAATGCGCCGTGATCTTTCCTGTTCTTTTCTTCATTTATTGGTTAGGTTTGTTGCAAAAATCTGGTGTTTAACTGACATGTTTTATTTCTCTGAAAACAAACAAAACATTGTATGCTGATTCCAGCAGGTCTCTTGGTGTAGAGAGCGGTACTGGTACTGCAAACCATGCTGCAATCCAGGGCATTGGTGATAGCTCTGATTCTGCTCCTTAGCACCACTCTCCCTGGTAAGTCTGAAACGCTTTTCTGTCTGCCTGAGACAAGGCTCAGCTCTACGGATTCTCACTTGCCTTAGAGAAGTCTAACCCATCCATAAAGTAGGACTGAAGCCAAATAACACAGTTCAAGACCATGAATATATAGTGTTTGGCAGTGTGAAACAAGTCGGTAGAGGCCTCGCATGAAAATTGTCTGTACCTGGTGCAAATACTCTGCCATGTAAGGCCTATGACCTAGATGCCCAAAAATGAGTGATGAGGTGCTGCTGGATGCTGCTAGCATGAATTCTGGGGGAGGCTTTGAATCTTAGAATTTCAGGTCTCTTCCCACTGTGCCTGGGGGAAGATATCAGAGACACAATGACTGGAGAACCCTCATGGTTTTTTGCCTCCTCTTTCTCAGAAGTGCACTCGAAGTCCATCTTTGAGAAAGACCGTCGTGACTGGTTGGTCATCCCTGATGCAATTGCAGCTTACGTCTATGAAACTGTGAACAAGATGTCCCCTAAAGTCGGTCAGTTCTTGGTGGATGCTGCCCAGATTCCAGTAGTTGTTGTGACCAGGTATGGAAAGATCCTCTGCACTAACGCTGCAATAGCCATGGGTGAAAAGGGAGAGGGAGGAGTGGGACAAAACCAGATTAACCAAGTATCTATATGGGGAAACCCAATGGGAAATGAATCAGCAACCAAAGCCTGATGTGACTACAATGGGAGCAGGGTGCTGGAAGGTGGGGTGGGTTGATACGGTTTCACGTGAAAGTGCAAGCTCTTCCCAGGGATGCACACTGAACACGACAATGCTCGTGGGGATAGCAGGTACTGCTCTTTATACCTGGGTGGTAAGGCAGGGGGCCATTGGCTGGTTGGGGATCAGCCCCCCTGGAAGGGTGCTGCGGTGCTGTCTGTGAGGGGCTGAGTACTGAAGGTGCCAGGAAACACTGCTGTCACTCAATGCAAATCACAGAATTGGCTCTAGCTGTGAATACATATTCCTCAAAGACGGAGAACGAGTTTCCTCCCAAAAGGAAAAGCATGATGACCCTAGAGGTACAGTTTCATGTAAGTCATGGCAGACACATGCTGCCTATTCCTGTCTTCTGAGGAAAGCCCCTCTAGGGCTGCTGAGGAGCTTTGCACTCTCAGTGACAGGCAGCGTGATAACTACAGCAGACGGAGATTACCTTCACGTATTTGTGTATCTTGCCACATACACTGTTTTCTCCTGCAGGAACTTCCTCATCAGAGAAACAACTAAACTCAGTATACTGGCTGAACAGCTGATGGAAAAAATAAAGAACCTGTGGTACACAAGAGTCCTAGGCTACTAGCCAGATGAAGACAAGTCAGCGTTTCCTGATGTGAGTTGGTAACACCCTGCAGTGCCCTCTTTCCCCCTGCCCCTATTACGGACCAAGATCAGTCAATAAGACAGAATCGATGCTCCTCTGACTGCCATTAGAGGGAACTCAGCTTCAAAGACCAAAGGATGGAAAGCATCTGCTGAAGTTTCCCCCCAGAAAAAACCCCGTGGCTGGGCATGGGGAAGGCAACGAGATTGTAGAGCTCTTCTGTAGCCAAATCCTGAAAATTAATTCCTCCTGAATGGCTTGGCCATTGCCCCCTCTAATAAAAAAATGTTGGTTGTTACACTTCCTTAAGTTTCCTGTTTGTATTGACTGTTACAAAATCACATCCACCTTGGCATCCCATTCTGCTGAGAACGTAGCTGTGATTCACAAGAAGTTGTTGCAGGCAATGCTAACAAACCCTGACCGTTCAGGCACTTTTAGCTAAGCTCAGGTTCTTGGGTCGAGAGGGCACTACCTGATCATCTTTCAGGGTAGTCACAATATGGCAACCGTAACCTCACACCAGAAAAGACCATGACATTTAAGCCCTACTGATTGTGTTCCTTGGTTAGGTAAGAAGCAAAGCAGGTGCACCTGTATCAAGTGTCTGAAGAGTTCAGATCATTTGGGAAAACAAGTGCCAGTAAATTGAACTGTCCGTCAATCTGAGCAGGACTTTGAAAGTATGTTTCATCAGCCAACTAGTGAGGCTACTGAATAGCCTTTCCAAAGGAGAAACAAGGGGAAAATTTCTCACTATCTTCAAGATGGAGTGTGACCAGTTTATGAGAGGGCCACCTATGCCCAGGACTGTTTATGAAGACCTGGCAGGTCCTTGTCAGCCCTGTGTAACTGCCTCATCTCAGCTGCCCACATTGGGTAAAGAAATCCATCTACTTTATCATTAAGCAAGTTGAAACAAGTAAGCAATTTGTCTGAAATCACAATTGGAGACTGCGGCAGAGGCTAAAACAAAACCCTGCTAGCCTGAGATCTAGGAGTCACGTGCACATGGGCAGAGCTACTGCTTAGGAGGGAGAGCATCGCTACAACTGGCAAAAGGAGATTTGCCTAATAACTGCAAAGCAACGCTACTGTCTTTTAAGGTGCATCTCCATTTACTTTCCCCTCATTGGGGTCTTAAACCTAAAACTTTGTTCTGCTTCAGCATTACCCTTAACTATTTGTCAGGGCTTGAAAGCACCAGTAATGGCCCTCACCTGGGACCCTCATCCACGCACCCTGCCTATGGACCCAGGAGCCACATCTAAGCTCAGGCTCTGGGCACCCAGGCCTGTGGCTGCTTCCTGCTGTCTTGGCTTACTGGTGGGTTTTCTTGCATGGATGCTGGACCTACGTTGTAGATAGCCTCATTCTATCCTTGGTTGTGCTTCCTGGATGGACCTTGGACCTATGCTGTAGCCTTGCCTCCAGCTCTGCCTCCTGCTGTCCTGAGTGGGCTCCCTGCTACGGCTGAAGGACCCTGTCACAGTTACTACCTCGCCTCTGCTTGGGTACAGTGGGACTGTGCCCTGGCTGGGGGCGTCACTACCTGTGCTGTGGTCTCTGCTGGCTCCTGGCTTGTCCTCCCTCTTGGAACATCCCTGACACTATTTCTAGATTATCAGGTAATCAACAATTGAGTAGGGGAAGCAGGAAAAGTGGAGAAGCCCAAGGAGGAATTGGGAGATGTCAGTGTTTGGCTCTTCCCATGGAAGTGTGCAAGAGAGCAAAGGGAGAGATGGGGGGTGACAGGGAGAAGGGAGAAGCAATAGAGATTGAAGGAAGTAAAAGAATCAGCAGCGATTGCTCTAAAAGCTGAATGTATTTCCTCAAGGCTATCCCTTCCCCCCCGCTGGGTTTGACTGTGGAAATTAACTCAAACAGCTGACAAAAAGGCTAATTAACAGATGAAGGCTATATTTCATCCGGTATCTCTGTGCCATCCTCCACTAGCATTGGTGGGAGAACTGCCCTTCCAGGGGCAGTTCCAGGCCTTTATTTTAACCTGTTCTCCACATTTTACAGCAGTATTTGACCACTGCAGGAAAGCAGGCTTTGCCATTGTTGAGCTTCAATACTCCTATTGTTTGGGCAGCATTAGGGGTGGGGGAAGAATGCCCTAAGCTAACAGTAAGGCTCTTTCTCCAACCTGAAGTGCTGGATTCTGAAAATGTGTGTCTAGTTTCTTTCTCAATGATCAGAAAGACTTACTGCCAGCAGTACTTGATTCTCCAGTGCTTCCTATTGCCCCAGTCTGAATTTCATCTCCCAAGATCTTTGCTACTGAGAAGTTTGCTTCAGCACAAACCTGAACATGTTGTAGCTGTTGTCCTGTTGGAGCAATTTGGCAGGCTGTTGATAATACAGGAGAAATGAGTCCCCTATGTTTTGGGATTGGTTATTTTGTTGTTTTGTTTTGGTTTTGTAATTATCAGTCAGATCAGCTATCAATATAAACTTGCACTTAATCATTTGTCTGGAATAAAAAAACTCATTTCACATTTTCTGTGTCTTAGCAGCTGCTTGGTACCATGCGCAATCAGAATGAAATCAGTGTCCCCATGCAGAGCAGCAAGTTTTTCCATCTCCGGTTGCTTCACCACTTCTGCAGAGCTCTTTTGCAGATTTCTTTATTACTGCCTGTTTTGCTTAGACTGTCTGTGCTTCCCTGGTCACGCATGAATGTGGACATGCATATGTATTATGTAAATGCACCAATATTTAGAAGGTGGTTTAGAAAAGCGCTGTTTGGGCTGATAAGAGCGTTTACCAACATGAAAAAGCCAGAAACTTCAGCTCTTTCTGCTAGAGAGATGATGTCCTACCTGCTCGTTTTATATGTGTCTGCTCAGTCTTTCTCTCTTTCTTCCCAAATATAACCCTTGTAGGAGAAGCCCTGCAGCTTAAATCCCCTCTTGCCCCAGGGAAGTATTCAGCATTCTGAGTTTTCTCAGGATAGAGCTTTTTCTTTTGGCACTTCGAAAGTATTTCTTTCTGAAAGAGTGGAAGTCATGAGTCATATGAAAGAGCCTGAATGTGCCCTTAAGAGTTTGGTGTCCTGGAAATTGTTCCTTCAGCCTTTTCAATCTATTTGTATGCACTGCCAAAAAGAGTAGGGAAAAGTTTGGAAAGCATAGTGGGCTCACGTTGCGTGTTGAGCCTGTTGTGTGACTTCATCAATGCAACCCAGCGGCATTTCTGTATTGCACCACCAGACAGCTGGAGCAGAGCAGTACCTGGTATGAAGTCCATGCTAAAGCTTAACAAAGTTTTGATATTTTGTTAAATGCACTCAATTATAACCCTTTTGTTCTTCTGCAATGTGACCTCCAGAAAATCCAAGCCAGCCACATGCTGAATAGCTGTTTGATATCTCACTGATTTTAGTATATGGGCAAAACTGAATCAGCCCATAGATCTCTGTATTTGTACTGAATCTCCTGATCATGTCATTATCTATGCAGTTTTATGCTTTAAAAGAAGTAAACAGAAAACCTTCCAGATGGTTAATCTGCTGTACAATCTACAATGTAGGGCAACCTACGAAGATAAAAGTAGACAACCTCCCACTGCCACTTCTGACCCTGACGTTACTGATATCACCCTTTCGTGAGTTCCTTAAAGGCAGAAACTAGCAGCTGGACAGCATTCAGGCTGGGATCAGGTAGGGAAAAAAAGCATTTTATCCCAAAAGGGATCCTGGGGCAAATTCATGGGACAGGTAATGTGGGGGCCATATGTTTTACTCTCAAAGTTAAAATATTTCACACCTACTCCCACTTTTCAGTAGGAATAAAAAGCTTAATTTGTAATTTCTTTGTAAAATAGGGATGGAAGTCACTTCCCAAGTGATGTCTGTGAAAGTTCACCAAGTGCTTCAAGATTCTTGGAGAGGCTTCGTAAGTGAAGCATTCATTTCAGTGAGATTCATGTCACAGAAACTTTCTTTGTGAGTAATCATTCACTTAGCAGCTTTGGGAAAGCTTGTGGTGTAACTGGTTCAACTGAGTCCATTGAAACGAAATCTTAAGAAATGTCAGTTTTCTGTTGTTTCCGAGATGAACGAATAACACCTCATGTGTTCCTGATTTCTGCAAAAACACCCTTTCTCAAAAAGTATTTATCATGGTGAATACTTTACACCATTTTCAGTGGCTCAGAGTGTTGATGGCACAGAACTGTTTGGCTTTTACACTTCCTAGTTCCCCCCACCTCTTACTTTAACACTTGGAAAAATCACGAATTAGTGCTAACAAACGAACGCCTCGGGCTCTGCACTGCTGTGAGCAGTGGCAGCAGTCCTTGTCGACAAACAACCCAAGTCCTTCAGCAGCAGAAACCCCAACACGAGGTGTTTTCTCCTTCCAAGGACAGACAAGGAGGACTGGAAAGTCATGTAAAATATTTGAAATTTATGGCTGGTAGTCACACTTGAAGAGCCATATGGTGATTTCCCCTACACACACACCACACACACGCATTTCCACCTAAAGGTATTGTATTTTCTGTCCTCTGGTGATGGCAGCGCACGGTTGTGCGGGCAGGGACAGAGAGGTGCGGCTGCCGCCGTGAGGGAGCGGACAAAGATGGTGCACGTCCGGCAAGGCGCGGAGCTGACACAGCCTTCTTTCAGATGGTTCTGCGCTGTCCACAGACTTTGGGCAAAGAAGCTTTTTCAAATTTTAAAAGTAAACACCAACATCGCACACGGGGGGGGGGGGGGGGGGGTTTTATAGGGCAAATAAGAAGAACTGGCCC